CACCAGCCAGGGCTCAGAGCATTACTTTTACTTACGGCAGAATTTCTTGAAACCTTACTACATTTTTTGTAGCCTTGCAAATTTTTCAAGGTAACTTTTAACATTTAGTCCCATGGAACTACCACAGTTTCTTATCATTTGTATTTCTTTGGGAACTATAAAAAGAAGGTTGTGAAGAGGGAAGGGAGGTAAAACACAGAAACAAAAGGTTTTGTATATCACCCTTGGAAGAGTTTTTCTCTTCCAAGCATTGTTGAATGCTGAAATTTGGAAAAGGAGAGAAAGAGGAGTTGATGAAACCAGGTTAGAGCTTTTGGCTGAATTATGTGTTTTGACATGATGCTATCTCAGAGTACTGGGAAAATGTTTCAGATATAGATGAATATTCCCCACCCCCAAACCCCTTTGTAATGTTAGGCCTAATTTCGGATACTCTAAACTCGTGTGCTACAATAGATCATGGTAGTGCCAAAGTCAACTGTAGGTATCTGTATTGGTCAAAATTCTCCAGAGAAATGGCACCAATAAGATATATGTGGGTGAATGTACAGTAAGTCCTCACTTAACTCCGTCAGTAGGTTCTTAATAACTGAGACTTTAAGCAAAATGATGTAGAGCGACACGAATTTTACCATAGGCTAATTGATAGAAACAAGAGTTAGGTTTCTATGGCATATTTCTGGTCACAGAAACCTTACCAAACTTCTAAATAAATACACAAAACACCTCTAATATTAAACACCAGAGGCTCGGTACATGAAAATGTGTGCACTGGAGGGGGTCCCTCAGACCGGCCTGCCCCCTCTCTCAGTCCAGGAACCCTCAGGGGATGTCCTACTCATGGCTTAGATCCGCTCCCCATAGGGAGCAGGCCTAAGCCGTAGCCTGGCCTTCCTCTGAGGGAGGCAACCTGGTGGATCAGGGGAAGGCAACCCCCCCATCATGCCACTGCCAACTGCAGCGGCTGCCTGAGCCTCGGTCCAGCCAGGCAGTGGCAGCCGCCATCCGCAGCTTTGTCCTTGTCCTGAAGACTCCACTCTAATTAGCATATGACCCTTATATTCGTATAGATTCAAATAAATGTGAGCTATGCAGACATTTAAGAAAGATTAGTAATAAGTAAAATAAGTCTTTTTCAACCCGCTTATTCCAGTTCCCGTCATGAGCGGCTGCCTCTCCTGGCAGCTCAATGAAAGGTAGGAACCAGCCCTGGACAAGATGCCCATCCAGCACAGGGCACACTCACACCCCCACTCACTGGAAAACTTTCACAGGCCAGTTAACCTCACATGCACAGCTTTGGGAGGTGGGAGGAAACCAGGGTCACTAGAGGAACCCATGCAGACATGGGGAGAACTTGCCAGCTCCACACAGACAGTGGCCTCACCAAGAATCTATTTTTTCCCCCATGGGTTGTAAACACACAATGTTGAAGAAAACATTACTTGAGGACCTGCTATATACAGTCTTGCACTGCTTAATGACATGGATTCATTCTAAGAAATGCCTCCTTAGGCGATTTCATCGTTTTGTGAACATCATAGAATGCACATGCACAAACCTAGATGGTATAGCCTACTGCACACCTAGACTATATGGTATAGTCCCATGGTCGGCAAACTGCGGCTCGCGAGCCACATGCGGCTCTTTGGCCCCTTGAGTGTGGCTCTTCCTAAGCCTTAGGAGTACCCTAATTAAGTTAGTAACAATGTACCTACCTATATAGTTTAAGTTTAAAAAATTTGGCTCTCAAAAGAAATTTCAATCGTTGTACTGTTGATATTTGGCTCTGTTGACTAACAGTTTGCCGGCCACTACTAGTCTATTGCTCCTACGCTACAAACCAGCACAGCATGTTACGGCACAAAACAACACGAGACTCAATAGTGACTAACCGGGGACCCAGCCACAATTTGGATTTAGACTCTGCGTCGTTAATTCCATTACACTTGGTTATCTTGGCAATCACAGACTACTTAAGCAGCTAACATAGAAATGATACATACATTATACAAAAATTTCGGATTATTAGAAGATTAAACAAGTCTTTTTTTAAAGTCGTTTGTAGTTAGTGATAGATTTGGTTTTAAGAGTAGCTTCAGTACGGAAAGGATGCTTTTAAAATAGGAAAAGTAAAGACCATTTATTATCAATTACTGGTTAAGATAAACAGGTAGAGATGTGAAGAGAGGATGTAGCTTAAACAGGAGGAGTATCCTCTCAGGAAGTGCTTTCCTTCCTTCCTCACCTCCCTACCAGCATTTGCTCCACGACTTCCTGTCTTCAACCACACCTTGTAAACCCTTTTATGTGCTCTTTTGACAGCAAGAAGAATTCTCCTGTGTTGTTCCACACTGGGTCATAACTAATAAAAAACACAAAAGAAGGGCCAAATGCCTTTTTACAGTGGAGATGGACTTTATTGTCTTTTTAAAGTTGAAAACAAGTACAGTTGGGATATATAGCAGGCTGCAGTTTCCACATGTTCTAGGGAAGTGGAACTGGATTATTTATAGTTTACAACATGTGTAAAATTAAAACTCACAGGGGGCTCCCAGGGAGATAAATTAGACAGAGAAGGGAAGACTTGGGGGACTATTTGGCTATATCCTGAGACGATGCCTATAAAAACATATGTTTTTGAATATTTAACATTAAACAATGTACAGAAGAGATTGTAGTCTTTACCTTGCGGTAACAAATTCTAAAATTAACAAAAGCTTTGAAGGCTGAAGAGGGGGGGAAATGACAACTTTGTAATCTTAATAAAAAAAAAAAGGGTTTCAGAAAAGCAGGGGGAAATAAAATGGTCAGGAAAAAAGATGTATCTTCCAAAGTGCAAAGTCAAGTTACAGGAGATCTGGTTGATATTTGACCCGACAGTCTCAAAGCAAGTTAGACTGCAGCAAGTAATTGCTTCCTCATTTAGATGAGACAATGAGTTCTCTCTGCAAGCTGCTCTCCTCTAAATAGATTGTATGGAGTAATTGAAACGAGTTACACTGGGAAGTGGAGTGACCCATTCCTCAAAGTGTGAGAGCAGAGCTATGGTAACCTCTTGAGCCTGGCCTTCATCCTGTTCCTATTTTAGGGGATCCGCAGGGCAGCCAGCGTGAAGTGCAGCGTGAAGTGCAGTCTGCACTTCGCCAGCTTTATTGTTTAGACTCGAAGGGAAGGTCATATGCCCTCTTCGACAGGGAGGTTTATGGGCTCTCTCTAATTAGCAGCACCCTCCACCAGACAGACTGTTGGCCCCCTTCCAAGAGCGGGGTTTGGTAGCGGCCACGGATGAAGGAGAAAACAAGGTTATTTACCCTGTGACTGTAATTCTTGGCACAGGTTCTCTCTTTACACTAAGACACGTTTTCCTTTTGTTCCAACTTGCCTTTGGAATTCTGAGTAGGGCGTTAAGGGAGGGAAATGCGACTATATACTTAATAGTATAAGCAATCCATATGTTAGCCTCACTTTAAAAAAAACACAAAACTATTCTAGAGCCTCACGGTTCAACATGCATTTTTGAAAAAGGATAACATATTCAGAGCGTTGCTTGCAAATGCAAATGCTCGAGTACAAGCCCACACACAACCTCGGAAAAGGAAGTTTAATTTGCAACATATATAAAGTAACGACAGTTGTACGTTAGGACACTTGGAAATACCAGCGGTGAAGTGTGATTGGGTTTAGCGAACGCAGGAGCGTTAAAAGGGTACTTTTATAATTGGCTTGTCCTGTTCTGTCAGTTCCGTAGGACGGTGGGTGAAGCTGATAGAAATGCTCTTTGGTTGATTCAAACCAGATGCTCCGACTATTTTTGTCCTGTTTGCCCGCGCGGCAGCACTGAAAAAGGCAATACTGCCCCCCTCGGCCGGCCGCCAGCTGCAGGCGCAGGAGCCTCGTCTCCTCCACCTCGGCCGTAAAAACCTTTCAAGTCCCCATTATTATTCCAGGCACATTCCAAGGGGGTTGAGTCACAGGGTTCACTTGGCTTTTCTCCCGTCCTGAACTGCCTGTACCGGTTGCAATACGACCTCCAACTTCAAAAAAGGAATCCATAACCGGTCAAAGAGCACTTCAGGGCAAACCCCAAATACAACCACACACGGGGTTTGCTGGCTGCACACGTGGGGTCCCACGGCCAGGGCTCGGGCCGCATGGCCAAAACATAGGGGGCTCTTCTGTGGGGAGTCCCGTAGTCCTGCTCTATTTTCCCTTCTGGTTTGGGAGGTTCCTAGGGCTGTTCGGCAGCGGGGCCGGGGCTGGGTGGGAAACTTTTCGTTGGGGCGGCGCGTCCGGGAGCGCCGGGAGGCCAAGGCGGGGTGCCCCGGGGCCTGAGGTTCCGCCGGGGTGGAAGTCAGCTTCCCGGGAAAACTCCCAGCCCCCGCCCCCTCGTGCACCCGCTCAGACTCGCCGGCCTCCAGGCCAGGGCGGGGGAGCGCGCACATCTGGCGGCCCAGGAGCCACAGATGGAACGCTAACCCCCGCACCCAGATGTTCCAGGGGCCCGGGGAGTCCAAGAAATCGAAGGGCGGGGCTACCGCCGTTGTGGCTCCTCCCTGTAGCCCGGGCTGCGGGGGTCTAGACTGGGGAGATCGTCCCGGAGCGCGAGATAGGCCAGCCGGCGCGGGTTTGGGGGGGGGGGGGTGCGGCAGCCAAGCGGGGGCCGGGGGAGGGGTGTTGTGATAGTAGAGCGAGGCTAGAGGAGGGGCGGGAAGCGTGTGCGGAGAGGCGATTGGGCGCGGGGGAGGGGGTTGCTGGACCTGGTCAGTGCCTCGCCTCGCCCCGCCCCGTCGCTGAGTCCGTCCCACCCGTGGGATTTTACAACCCAGGTCCCCAGGAGGTAGTGGAGGAGGGAGGGGCGGGCGGGCATGTTTCCTGCGGGGGAGGGGCGCGCCGATCATGCGGGGGGAGGGGAGGGGAGGGGAGCGGAGGGCGGGATTCCCCCTTCCTCCTCTCCCTCTGCCCAGCGCTAAGGAGCTATGCGCCCGCGCGTTCTCTGCACTTAGTTGGGGCTACAAGGGTCCCGCATCCCGACGAGGCCTTGCTCGCCTTTCCTTCTCTCCTCGCCTGACCCTGAACCGGGAGGGGGAGGAGCAACATGTGCCCTCCAGACTTTCTCCAAAACTGGAGCTGCTCCGAGGAGTGTGCGGAGCGCGGGTGGGCGCGCCCCAGGTTGTTTGCACGCGGGAGCGTGACGTCTCGCTACGCAGCCGTGTTTATCGTGGAGTCACGGCTGTTCCCTAAGAGCCTGCGTCTTCTGGATGCTTTAATTACTTCAAAGTTGACCTTCATCCAAGTTGTCCTTAGAGTTTCATCTAAGCGTGTCAGCACCAGGTCATTACGCAAATGTTTTGTGACAATTTGGAGAACCAGAGGGGGGAAATATCTTTAAAGGGAAAAAAAATTAACGACAGGAAATGTTAAAAGACGTCCTCCCCTTTTCATCACGTATTCTCCGCCAAAGTAAAATAAGAAACTCTACTTAACAGCTTTCTTCCACTTCAGGGAAATCTCCCCGCGCCCCGTTAGGGGCAACGTGCGTGAATGGGCTCTGGCACCACATTAGCTCCCAGCTGAAACGGAGCAATCCTTGGTGTTTCCCAAAGACTGCTGGGCTTCACTGAGAACCGTAACAAGAATACAGGGTGTTAAGTGCTCAGCGTTCAAATAATAGCTCTTCTATCGTTGTGTCTGTGACCTGTGGCAAGTTACTCTGCTTTTTGGCGCTTGGTGCCTCAGTTTCACCATTCTAAAAATGTAACTGTCCCTATGGCTTCATGCGGTATAAGGATCAAGGATTCATGAGATTGTGCAAATCGAGTTCTTAACACAAAGCCCGGTGCATAGCAAAAGCTCAGTAATCATTATTACTATTAATGGGAGTAACCTCTGTCACTGGCATACAAGTTGTGGGCATGGGCAGATGGAAAAGACCGCCTCCAGAGTTCACCGCTTTTAAGAGCATGGGTTTTCACATCCGCTGAACAGGTAAAACCTGCAACCCTGGTCACACATCTCCAAGTCTACAAACCCCGGTAGAGTTTTCAGTCTAATGAGATTAAATTGGATGAAATGATAATGATGCATAGGCTTTCCTCATAATGTAACTTGTTTTTATAAAGTGAATTTGACTTCTGGGTTTCCCATTATATACCTCCTTTTCCTTGTTCTGCACATCTCCTTCTCCCTTCGCTAAATACGTATAGAGGAATCTGATTAGGGCAGCCTCTGTATCAAATGAAAATGTGAAAACTTTGAACTAGTTTAGTTTAGACATAGTTTCAAATATAATTCTGAAAAAAGTCAAGGCTATTGTGTACACGGGGAGCTGCTGGAACTTCATTGTGAGTCACGTATTCTCCAGGTTCATTGTCCTCCACTTTAAAGTATGTGTGTGTCAACCAACCTGCTGTACGCAAGTTGAAAACAGTATTTTGATCCCTGGTTGGGAATGAGAAAATACTTCTTTCCATCAGGGGTTGGTTGAATCCATAGAGGCAAACCCGGCTAAGATGAAGGTCCCACTGTATTTATTGAAGAAGAATCTGCGTATAAGTGGACCCGTGCTATTCGAACCGGTGTTGTTCAAGAGTCAACTGTATAAAGCAAGGTAAAGTACTTATAACCAGGTAAATGCTAACATATTCGGTGCATACAGTGGATATATTCATCTCATAAGGATTGGTATATATACTTTAAATACATAAGGTACATTTGTATTTATATATAGCATATCCAGCATAGATGCTATATACACACAGGTCCCTCCTTTGGGAAGTTTTTCCACCACCTGCAAAAAAGGTATAAGTTTCTTCTTCTGGGCATGACTGGTCTGACTTTTCCAAAGAGGGGGCTGAAACGGAAGCTGTCCTTGATTCTGACTGGATGAGAGAAGTGTGACCTCTTCTGGGCCTCCTGTCATGTTAACTAGAAAATCCCCCAAGAAAGAAGGAGTAGAATGGTGGTCCTTATGGTCTGGACCCGAATCCCATTTTACCTTAAAATGTCTCCCATGAAATTTCCCCTCATCATCTTCCCTGAGAAATATTTTCCAAACAATAATGCAGCTCCCTCCTTTTCATCACCCAAGATTCCTCTCCCTCATGCTCCACATCCAATCTATCATCACTCCTGTCAACTCTAATTTATAGATGTGGATATAATAGAGATACAGATATGTCACAACTCCACCCACTCATACTACCTTCTACACTAGCAACTAGTCCAAGCATCATTATTTTTTGGCAAACCGACTGCAATAATCTAATTATTCTTCCTGCTTCTACTCCACCCTACATTTCACTCTCCACACAGCAGCCAAAGTTGTCCTTTTAAAAGATAAAAGGACTCCTGTTCAAAATCCTCCAGGAGTCTCCCATCAACACTTGGAATAAAACTCGTACTCCTAACTATGGCCCATATGATTTAACGCCTGTCTAATTCTCTCACCTGATCCTCTGTCACTTTCTCCCCTGTTTATTCCTCTTTAGTCACATCAGCCTTCTCGATGTCCTAAAATAGATGTTAAGAAGGCTCTTATTTGGGGTCTTTCCATTTTCTGTTTGCCCTGCCTTCAACCCCGAGATCTTCTCATGGCTTACCTTAATTCATTCAAGTCTCTGCCCAAATGTCACCTCAGAAAGAACCCCTGCTTGTCTTATCTAATATAGATGCATCATGCCCATAGCTATTCTCTTACTAATTGCCCTGATTATTATCACATCTCATCAAATCTCTTAAAATTTTACTAGATTATTGTCTCACCTCTAGACTATAGGCTCTTTTCAGGTAAGGACTTGGTCGATCTTGTTCAACAAAAAGTCTCCAGTCTAAAACAGTGCTTGTCTTATAAAAGGCACATAATAAGTAATTGCTAAATGAAAGTGTAAAAAGAGTCTCCACCTGGAAAAACAATGGGGAAACAAGGTATCCCTTAGCGTAAACCCAAGAAAATGTCATGCTTCCCTGATCTCATGAGCTTATTCCTGATTGGCTCCAGCTCCAAGATGGATATTGGCTATTGGAAAGAAATTTAATCCTACATGCATATAAATATGTGAATCAGACTACATTCAGTCAGTGGGGAAGGGGAGTAAAAGGAGAGAAACGGAGAGAGAAAAAACAATGTAAATAGCGTGATAATTCTGTTTATTATTGTTTACTCAGAAAGTGTATGTACTAAAATAAACATGAGATGAGAGACTTGAATTTGCTCTGTTACTCTCAGTTTGTCTGTGCTCTTCATATTATGATCAATGTGTCACACTGGGTGTTTAAAAATGCTGATAGTCTGAACAGCGTGACCCTCAAATATAAGGCAATTGAATGAATTTGGATCCTCAATGCACCACAATAGTGTGTGACCCCTTCAGCACCTCACTTTCCTCTTCTGTGAAAGGAGCCAATAATACTGCCTCCTTCATAGGATGTTATAAGGATTAAATATTTAATATTTGTAAGGTTCTCAGAACAGTGTCGGGAACATAATAAACTTTCTGTGAGAATTTAAAAAAATGTTTTATTATTGATTTTACAGAGAGGAAGGGAGAGAGATAGAGAGCTAGAAATACCCATGAGAGAGAAACATCGATCAGCTGCCTTTTGCATGCCCCATACGGGGGATTGAGCTTGCAACCAAGGTACATGCCCTTGACCATAAGTGAACCTGGTACCTTTCAGTCCATGGGCCAACACTCTATCCACTGAGCCAAATGGGTTTTCCCCTTTCTCAATGATTTTGTAACCTAAGATCCTGCTCCATTGTGATTAGCACTGGAGTTTTCATTATGGTTTTAGACCAGTGATTTCAGTTTTAGCACCAAGCACAATAATTATTTTACAGCTATTTCTACTCTAGCATCTACACCAGCCATGGGCAAACTACGGCCCGCGGGCCGGATCCGGCCCGTTTGAAATGAATAAAACTAAAAAAAAAAAAAAACCGTACCCTTTTATGTAATGATGTTTACTTTGAATTTATATTAGTTCACACAAACACTCCATCCATGTTTTTGTTCCGGCCCTCCGGTCCAGTTTAAGAACCCATTGTGGCCCTCGAGTCAAAAAGTTTGCCCACCCCTGACACTTACTAATAAATTCCATTTAGGCCAAAGTATCCCCAACTTTGCAAAACAGAAAACGTCCCTTCAGAGAATCACCCATTCTATTATAGTTGAATAAAAGGTGTTCCTTACTTTTCAGTGTTGTAAGCTTTCCTTGGCCAGCTTTTCTATAACAATATTGTCATTTGGTAGTTGAGTGTCAGTCAGCTCTACAGAAAAATAAATATCAGTGTTTTTCCCAAACCTGTTTGCTAAATCATCCCTGAACCAGGGGAACTGAGCCAGATAATCTCTGGACGGCTCTTTAGCTCTCTTCTTCTGTGGTTTTTGTGAAAATGAAAATAGCTCAGAGATGAGCGTTTCAGAACTTAGCGCTATGTTAACTGTGCCTGGTGGCTGTGTGAAGCATGGACAATTGAGATGGTTTAAACTCCACTGTACTACTTGGAACAGACTAGGTTCCGTCAGAGCCAACAAGAATAGAATCTGTTTAAACTGTAGACAGCCTGTCAGTACCCATCTAGGCTCAACATTTCACTACTCTTTCTAGGGCCTTGACCACTCATTCATACTGTGCCAGAGCCTCTTAAGAAAGAGCTGGAAACCTCCTTGCTAATATTTGTTAAATATCCTTGAATGTACTCTGCATATGATACATTAATAAACATACTCCCTTTATGGTATTATCATTCATGTATTTATTCATTTAATAAATATTGACTGAGGCCTTCATATGTCCAAGTTATAAACCTAGGAATCATCTTAAACACACCCCTGTCCCTTGCTCCCCACATAATAGATCAGCCACGAAACTGGTGCCAATACTACCTTCTAAATATCTCTTTAATAGTTGTCCTCCTCTCCACTCACTCCCCCTGTCACTACGTTAGTAAAGATGGGCTAAGCCCAGCTGCTGTAGAAAGCAGAGGATGAGGCACTCTATTTAAGAGGTGGGAAGGGAATGAGGCAAGGATAGATGTGACTTAGTGAGATGCACTGTGTTACCACAGTGGTCCTGTCGTGAAATGACACCAACAAATCACTCAACAAGCTTGGGACTTCTCCGAAAGGGTTACAAGGAGGAACTACATCTCAGAATCATCCACAACAGAGAGAAAAGAGGAGAAATGTATCTGCTGATGTCTCTCTTGACTTCATTTTTTTAAAATAATTTTTTAAAATATATTTTATTGATTTTCTTACAGAGAAGAAGGGAGAGGGATAGAGAGTCAGAAACATCGACGAGAGAGAAACATCGATCAGCTGCCTCCTGCACACTCCCTACTGGGGATGTGCCCGCAGCCAAGGTACATGCTCTTGACCGGAATCGAACCTGGGATCCTTCAGTCCGCGGGCCACGCTCTATCCACTGAGCCAAACCGGTTTGGGCTCTCTTGGCTTCATTTGCTACTGGTGAAGGTTTATCTCGGAGAGAGCTGAATGCCCCCAAACTTCTCGGTTGTAACATATGGCCATGTGGTGGCTCTCAGGAAGGCAGATCTCATGTCCAAAGTGTGGTACCCCATACAACTTCAAAAGTAAAGCAGCAACTTGGCACTGATGAATTTCTGACCTAGAGAGAGAGAAAAGGCAGAGGAGGCATTCAGGGGATCTGAGAAGGTGCATGAAGTTTGTGTCTCAATATAAACGAAGACTTCATAATTTTTCCTTCAGGTTTTTATAACTGCCTATGTGGACTTTGTGCCAAGCATTCCCTTTTAATCCATTCTTCATGCTGTACCTAAAGTGATCTTTCAGACTCAAATCTT